CTGGAACGAATCCCGTTCATATCCAGAGTTACCACTGTAATCCTGGAGTCCCAGGTCTTTGTTTTGTATTTTTAATGCCAAGGCTCCCTACAGTCGTTTATAGTTTTGAGTTTCTCTCCCTTTTGCTGCACAGAAGATGGAAAATCATCACCACCTCTTCTATCAGAGTCTGCACTCTCATGCAGGGATGGGGAATCATTTGCCTTCCAGATGTTCTTGGACTTCAACTCCCCCCACTCTTGACCATAAGCCATGCTGGCTGGGGCTGAAGTAAGTTGTATTCCAACAACATCTGGAGAGCCACAGTTTCCTCACCTCTGTTCCATTTTTGCAATCAGGGCAGATTTCCAATCCTGTAACACTCCTACCCCACCCCATAAAATGGGGCCAGTTGATGCTGAAATGCCAAGTTGTCACTGTGCAAATGGAATTCTCCTGTTCAGGAACTCTTATGGGGGGGGGGACCTCACTGCTCTAGTCATCCACCCCCCCCCCCAGTATGACTATGTATGAATATGTTTTCTGTGTTAGGCTGCAAATGCTGGTCCAGTGAGAAGCTATTCTTCCAGGTCTGCTGCCCTCACCAAGCCTTCTGGCAAGGCAACATTGTATTAAAATTACAGTGGTACCTCTGGTCACAAACTTAATCCATTCCGGAGGTCGGTTCTTAACCTGAAACTGTTCTTAACCTGAGGTACCTCTTTAGCTAATGGGGCCTCTCACTGCTGCCGTGCCGCCCGCACATGATTTCTGTTCTCATCCTGAGGTAAACTTCTTACCCAAGGTACTACTTCCGGGTTAGCAGAGTCTGTAACCCAAAGTGTTTGTAAACCGATGTGTTTTTAACCCGAGGTACCACTGTATTATAACACACTGCCAATACAAGATCTTTGATTAAACTTTACTGCTACATCCAGTCTGTACTGAGAGCAAGTGCTCCTACTGTTCCACCCTAGTGATGCTACTGCTACACTCCCAGCCTCTTGTTACCATATACAAATGGGTGTGTTGCCCTGAAAGAAACCAAAGCAACTACAGAGTCCATTGTTTGTCTGTTTTCATTCTTCACATCTACAACTCAGGCTTCCTTTATGCAAATGTAATAAATAAATAAAATTGTGGCAGCTTCCAACAACCTTGTGTCCTCCAGATATTATTGGACTACAACTCCCATCAACCCTAGCCAGCGCAGGCCAGCAAGGAAGAGAGTTATGAGGAACAGTTGAGAGAATTTGGTATGTTTAGCCTAGTAAAGAGGAGATTGAAGGGAAATATGGTAGCCATCTTCAAACATCTAATGGGCTGTCATGTGGAGAATGTAGCAAGCTTGTTTTCGCCTGCTCTGGATGCTAGGACCTGAACCAATGGATTCAAGTTATAAGAAAGGAGATTCCGACTAAACATCAAGAAGAAATTTCTGATGGTAAAAGCTGTTTGACAGTGGAGCAGTCTCCCAAAAGAGGTGGTGGATTCTCCTTCCTTGGAGGTTTTTAAGCAGAATTTGGATGGTCATCTGACATGGATGCTTTAGTTGAGATTCCTGCATTGGAGGTGGTTGGACTAGATATCCCTCGGGTTCCCTTCCAATTCTACGATTCTTTGTAGCCCTACAAATTCTGGAGGGAACAAGTTTGGCAAAGTCTTTGTTATTGTGGCTGGTGTCTCATTCTGAGTCACCTATGTGCTAAGGAATAAAATTAAAATAAGATTCTGAATTAACACCAAGGGGGCTGATTGCATATGGGTCTTGCTTGTTTCTACAGATAAAGAAGAGTGGATGACTCTGAGTAAATGATTGTTCATTGTTCATAACAGCTGTAACAGAAAAATGATGGGGGGGAGCCCTTTAAAAAAACCAGCAAAGGTCTCAAACATCACTCCACATGAATTCATATCAGGCACTCCTCTTTCAAAAACACCAGGAAGACATTCGCAAGGCCTACCTACAATACAATATCTCTGATGCTTGTATGCCCCTTTAAACCACCACGGCTTCCCCTAGTGGATCCTGGGAAATGTGGTGCTGAGAATTCTGTGAGATATCCTGAACCTTACCCCTCCACAGCACTTCCGTTTTTTAAAAAATATTAGTAGTTAAACAGAGCATTGCATATTTGCCTTTAGTGTGTGCCTTTCTCCCATCAAGACTGTCACACAAGAATTTGCTCAGCATTCTCTTAAATATATATATTCATATTCACACAATACTGTAGACCCAGTTTTTATCTTTTCTTGTTATTATTATTATTATTATTACTATTATTATCAAGAAACAGAGTCATAGGAAGAGCAGAAACAGACAGCTGAGTCCAGAAACTAATGTATTTGAATGTATTCCTTTTATCTACGTTTCCCCCCTTTCCTACAAAAGGCCTTAAAATGGAAGGGGGAGAATTGAGGATCAAAGTGAGTGAAAGATGTAGATATCAGGTCAGAAGGTTAAGCACCCACCAAGGAAACATTACAGTATCACTTCCATTCTGTTCCCACTGTAACCTGATAGAAAGATTATGTGAAACAGAAAATTGTGCAGCTTTGGGGAGGGTGGGGAAGGGAGAGGAATTCCACATGCCCTATAAATTCCAATCCTTTTTTATGTAATCTATTTAATCTCCCGTTAATGATAATCACAGGCTATCAATGTGCTCAAACAGGGTCAATTTCTGGTGGATTTGCACTTCTTATATTTTGTGCTTTAGCAAAGCTGCAGGGGGCAGGGAAGAGCGAAGAGGGAGGGAACACAAAGGTCTAAACTCTGATTTAAACAGTTATATTAGCAAGATCTGGACCAAGGATTGCTTGCAAACATAAACAGTCCTTGAACATATGTGTGCCATGGGGTGTGTGTGTTTGTGTGTGTGTGTATTAGAGAGAGAGAGAAAGAGAAAATGGGCTGGTTAGGGTGGGTAGTAGGTCCTGCCAGCTGACAGTCATCTATTAAGCAGGTTCTATAATCTAAGGACTCAACAAGGTTAGAAAATCATAGTGGATTTACCAGTCTTCTTACAGACGGAGTTGGATTGGGGGAGGGAATTAGATGGGGGGGGGGAATAGGCTGCAGGGTAGCATTTCCAAATTTCACAACATCCTGCCTGTCCAGCAGCAGACAATAAATGCATCTGGGAAATACCAGATAGGTTTCTGCTCCGAAGGAGCTTCAAACGCAAGAGGGGGCATAACATGAAAAATCAGGCAGTCTATGGAGGGAAGCAAGGAGAGGAGTGAGGAAGGTGTGTTTCTGCATTTCAGCTTCATTTTCTGTAAAGGAATGAACACCCTCCCCAAATCACAAAAAGGACACTAGCCAAATGCAACTTAACAACCTTCCAGCTGCCTCTTGCCTGTTGACCACAGGATATATTACCTCTCACTGACCATCTCATGTACTCTATCCTCTTGGGCTGATTCCCCCAGGTTAATTCCACACACACCCTTTGCTTGATTTCCTCAAACCATAGCATCCCTTGGCTCCCACATATTGCTCTTCAGCCTAGATTATGAGCAGCAAACAGCTTTAAAGGAATATTTGAGAAAGAACAAAGAGGGAACAAATTATTTAAATAAGCAAACCCATCAGATTGGGAAGAGAGTGCAGGGTAATAAAATTGGTTCAGAATGGGATTTACAGTGCAAGTCTATGTCTGCCTACTCAGAAGTAAGCTCTGCTGAGTTCTATGGAACTTACTCACTGGTAAGTACAGGATTCCCATCTTCATGTAGCAACCCAGCTTCTAGCTTGCTCTACCATATCAAAGAAGACAGACAAATACCCAGTTATGATCACAGGCCCTCCACTCCTTAAATAGTGGTACCCAGAAGTTGGCTGAGCAGAGAGAGAGGATTGTGATGATATTTGTCCTAGATAACCTTCACAAGAGAATGTACCCAATCCTCATTTTCAAATGAGAGGGGTGAGGAGAATGGATTGGGGTGTGTGTGTTAGTGCTGGAAACCAATAGCCTAGTAGTCCAATAAGAGGGGGGAGGAAAGATCCCCACCCATCCACCTATCTGCCTAGGAAATATCCCCCCCCCCCCACAGACTATATATATATATATATATATATATATATATCCTTCATAGATGCACTCGTTTGATGAGGCTGGAGCGAGCCTCACAGGAAGAGAAAGGCGACTTCCCTGAGCTGATGCATATATTCATGAGGTGTGCTCTCTCCTCCATTCTCCTGAAATGGAATTGGGGCTCATTATTTTGCAATGGCGCAGCACCCTGGGGAAGGGACTGTGGATCACAGTTGGGCTGGAAAGCATTTCTTGTCTTGTCTTTTCTAAAGGTGGGAGGGGAATGGGAAGGTGAAGACAAACACACCAGCACAGAGGCACACACCCCTTGTCAAACAATCCTGAGCACAACCTAGCCAAAGCTCCAGTCCAAAGCACTAGCTCTCAGTTTTAACTTCCTCTTCATCTCCTTATAAGCCACAGAACCATCAAGGTCAGCATTTTTCTCCCTCCAGCCCAGGCCGCTAACAAAAGCCCTTGAAAGGACCACTGGTGAGGTCCCCAAACCTGCTACATTCCTTTTTCCTCTTGAATTGGGTGTGTGCGTTGATTTTGCTTTGGAGGGTGGGGTAAGGCAAAGCCAGAAATGACGAGGTGGGGGTTGGCTCCTCTCTCTCTCTCTCTCTCTCTCTCTCTGTTGTCTTGTGAATGAATTCCACCTCCAAGGACCCATTAGGAGAGTTACATCTCCATCATCATCACCATCACAAACATCCAAAAGAGGAGGGAATCTCTCCTGAAAGAATCCAGGCTGAAAGAAAAGCCCAGACAAACTTCAAGGAAGCTTGGATGCCTTTGGGTATTTGCACCAAGTTACAAGCACTCGAAATCAGGTCTAGAACAGAGACATTTCAACAGCACCCCACCCCCTCCATATATATATATACATAAAGAATCACCCAGACGCCAACAACCCGGATTCCAAAAAAGGGAAGGGGGAAGCCTTCCCCCTATTGACGCAAAGCAAGAAGTTTGGTCTCACTTACGGTATTTGGGGCTGGTGTTGGCCTCTGGCGTGGTGGTGGTGCTGGCCTCTTGGAAGGGGGATAAGGTCCAGGACGGAGCAGAGTCCTGAAGATAGGTCTTGTAGGAGGAGGTAGTGTATGCCGCAGTGGGCCAGATGGGCAGAGGCTGGGTCCCAGGGGTGCCAGGCGCAGGGCGGGAAATCAGGATGGTGGTGCTGAAAGGGACAGCGGTGGTGGTGGTGGCAAGGACGGTCGGGGGCGCGACCGTGTGGCGCGCCGTGGTGGATCTCGGCAGGCCGGCGCGGATCGGGCCCCGGGTGCCCGGGAAGCGGGTGGGCGCCTTGGTCATGGTGGTGAGGCGGGTACTTATCCGATTGGGTGTCCTCGACGTGGTGGTAGTGGCCGTGCTGGTGGTGGTGGTGTCCACGCTTTTGGGCGGCGTGGTGGGCTGCTTGGAGAGGAAGAAGGGGTCCTGCTCGATGCCTTTGGAATCCATCAGCTCGGTGGGCACGTACTCCTTGACGGAGCCCACCACGATCCACTTGAGCAGCATCAGGCTGAGCCCCAAGCCCACGAAGCCGATGAAGAGGGGCACCACGCACAGCCACGTCTGCTGCCGGTTCCACACGATGCAGTCGCTGCAGCGCACCTCGCGGGCCGCCGGGTCGGCGCCCCCATCGCCGCCGCCGCCCGCGGGACCCCCGGCTCCGGCCGCCGCCCCCTCCTCGGCACCAGCTGCGGCACCCGGAGGAGAGGAGACCCCTTCGCTCATCCTCCTAGGGGCCTGGCACACCCTCCCCCCGGAGAAAGAAAAGGCATCGGGGGGGAGCGAGAAGCATGCGGAGCAAAGGCAGCGAGGGAGGGGGCGCGCAAAGGCGAGAAAGAGAGCGAGCGAGCCACAGAGGGAGGGAGGGGTGGGGAGGGAGAAAGAAGAAGATCCCACAGAACGGAGGGGGAAGCTGCCGTCAGTTACCGAAAGGACATTTCCCCATTCAACCTAGAGCTCTGTAACCCCCCCCCCCCATCACATATACATCCACACGCATTCACACAACCGCTGCTGAATCAGCTGGAATGGCCGAGCTCTCCCCATCCTCCAGCAGTGCTGAAGTAGCCTTCTTTTTTACCTTCGATCCCCCCCTCTTATCCCCCCCCCAAAAAATGAGGAATCCGCGGCGCTTCTTCCCGCACGAACCCAAAACAGCAGTCCCCAAAAATCCACCTCCTTCGATGGTGATGATGATGATCCTTGGGTGCTGGGGCTGGTGTGGTGCTTTTTCTGTCTCCCCCTTCTCGTTCCTAGCCCAGAGATCCGCATTCAGCAACAATCACGAAACCCATTTCTCCATACGGAAGCGGGAGTGCGAAAAACAAGCTCCTCTGGCTCCTGGTTTTGGGTGATGATGTTGAAGATGCCCCCCTTTCCACCCCACCCCCCAAGCAGAAGCAGCGGCGGCTGGAGCAGCAGCGGCGACATTCCTCGGCTGCTGGGCTTTCTTTCCTTCTTTCCCCCCCTGCCCCCCCACCTCCTTCTCCTCCTCCTCCCCGAAGCGACGGAGCAGCAAACTGCACCTGTTATTCAGCAGCCCTGCAGCCAACCCTTGGACAGCACTTTAAAGCGGAGAGACCAATCCGAAGGCAGCGCGGAGGGAAAGGAGAGCGAGCAAGCGAGCGAGCTGAGGCGCAGACGCGGCGGGAGAACCGGGAGCCGCTGCCGCCGCCGCCACCACCAGCCCGGCATTGCTGACAAGTCCAAGGCGACATCCAAACTGGATCCGGATCCGGGAGGGGGGAAATAATCATTAAAACAAAGCTACTCAATCAAAGGAGCTTCCAGCAGTTACATGAAGCAGGGAAAGGGGGTGGCTAAGGCGGAGGGGTGGGAAATATCACACATACTGTACACCAAAAATATATATTCCTTATTGGGAATAACAATCCTGCCGAGGGAGGCGGCCAGGACTGTTCCGCGCGGGTCTCGGCGCCCCCTTTGGCCGGGCAGGCAGCCCTCTTTCCCGGAGGCTGAGCGCTCCTATTGCAGCATGTTGGGGGTGCGGGAGAGGGTGGTGCGCTGAGAGTAGGGGGGCGGTGGCGAGGATGCCGCCTCCCCGTGGCCAAGCCTCGGGGTGGTTTCTTTATTGCGCACAAAGATAGCGGAACGATCCGGGCAACCCCCCTTTGGAGTGGGAGGGGGGAGATCCGGTAAGGAGTGGGGTGGGTAGGTGGATGGCTGGGTGGGCAGCCGCCGCTGCTGCCTGGTCGGTTCCGGAGCGGCTGGCGTTCCGGGCGAGTCTTGCACTCCTACTGCGGCTGCATGCCCAAAGAGGCGCGCGGGTGCGCGGAGACGGGGAGGAGCCAGCAGGGCGCGGCGGCGGCTACACCTCTGGCGCGGAATGCCTGCCCGAGCGGGTGGCTCGAGCGCCGGGTCCGGGACTCGTAAAGGCGGATGGACTAGCGTTGCAAGGACTAGTTGCTGTAGACAGGCTTGGGAAGGTGAAAAGAAAAAGAAGGAAAGAACCAAGTGATAACGCAGAGTTCACTGGGGCAACTCACTAGGCAACAGGGGTGCCAACTTGAATAAAATATTGGGGGGGGGGAGGTAAGCCCTACCCCACACAATCGATCACAAGACACGGTGCGCACAGATCATTTGAATGGCAATACCCATCAACTTTGGGGGTGGGGCCCCCGCAAATATTTTTGGGGGGAGGGGGCAAAGGACCTCAGCCCCTAGGAGTTGGCTCCTATGCTAGGCAAGCCGATAGCTCTCTTTGCCCCCATTTCTTGCTTTAGCTGAGATTCCTAGATTGCAGGGGGTGGAATAGATGATCCTTGGGGTCCCTTCCAACTCTACCATTGTAGGATTCTTCTGCAAGGTAGGGATGGGCATAGCGAGTGATTTCCTTTGCTGGGACGTTGTGAAAGATTACCATAGAAAGGTATTAAGTATTTATGTTACTACCGCCTACAAGGTCGCCTAAAAAAGAAAGCAAAGACCTGTAGGATCAGACCATCAAGTCCAGTACCCTGCCTCTAAGAGCCAAATGTTTATGGGAAGCTCATAAACAGGAAAGGAGGGCAAGAGCGTTTTCCCCATTCATTCTTATGCCCCAGCTGCAGAACACGGAGATTCCATTTAGCAACCGGAACTAATGGTCATTAATCTCCATGGCTACTTCTTTTTAAAAGCCATCTAAAAGGTCTTAAAACAACTGTGGCATTGACTTCCATAAGTTAGTGCTATGCTGTGTGAAACAGAGGGTGGTACTGTATTCAAGTTGGTTTTACTCACAGTAGACCCACTAAAATTAAGGAACCTTACAGGGCTCACCCACACCTTTATCCTGTGATCTCTAGGCATATGGGTTCTAGAGGTTTTTCTTTACTCCCACTACTTTCCCCCAGGGAAACGCACTGTTTACAGCTGAATCGTGAGAACAGTATTAATCGTGATTTCTGTGGATTTGTCACTGGGCAAATGGAAGAGTTGATGAACCCTTAGTCATGTTCATGAATTTCAGTGGTTCTATTCTGAGTAAAGCTTGGTTGAATGCCACCCAGTACTTCCTTTTGCCTGTTCTGCATTATCTTAAGAGGTCTAGTTTTACAAGGAAAAACTTCCTCTATCCACTATCAGCACACCATTCATAATTTTATAGTGTGTCCTCCTTCCATTGTCTCCTCCACTCTAAACTAAAAGTCCCAAATGATGTAGGCTTTTGGCACAGGACATATATTCCCACCCCAAATAATTTAGGTTGCCAGATTTGGCACCTTTCCTAGCTCCAGTGTATCTCTTTGAATATGAATTAATAAAATTGTACACGCTATTGCAAAGGTGGGTTTACCATAGATTTCTACTGGCAGTTTTATTTTTAGACAGTTCCCAGAGCTTGCCCTTTTCACTGTCATTGCACCCTGAGGCTGTGTACACATTACACAGTTACACACTCCTTATTCAGTGCACTCCCACTGCTGGTGTTTGAAGACATGTACATACTGCATTAGCCACAATCCATATCTATCCTGTATTATCTTGAGAAATACTATTGTTTGGTGTGCTTTCCTTCAAACCAGCTTTCATCAAATTTGTAAACACAAGCCATATTCACTTCACAATTAACTTGAGATGTGTGCATTTAAGACAGCCATTGAACATGTGCAGATGACAGCTTCACAAATGGTTCAGGGGTGGGGGTGTGGGAAAGCCACACAGGTCCTGTGCATCAGGCTAAGACACCCCCATTCCCTTTTCTAGTGTGTACAACAATGTGCAAATGAAACTTGAAATGCAGCAGGGGGGAACAGCCTCACTCGGTTTTAAGCCGCTAATGTCTATATAGCCAGATTTGTTGTTGTTTTATAGCTCTCCACTATAACGTGGTACTCAGCACTGAGCTTGGGAGATAAAGAGCTCTGTCTGCTCTTCAGAGATCATTCTCTAGAAATCAGGCAGAGTGTTTAATCTCCTGATATAAGCACTGAGCACCACAGTAATACCATGGGGCTAGTCTTCCTATGGCTTTCCGAGCCAGATCTGTGTGTCCTTTCATCGTGAAGCCACTATGTTTGCATTTGGTGAGGAACATTGTCAAAAACAGATAAAGTCCAAGCATATATCTACAGATGACCCCGTCTAAGTGCTGGCTGATACTTTTTTTAAAAAAATCCAGAAAATGTGATGAAGCCAGGCTGATTCATCCTCAGCAAAGCTTGTTCTTCTATATATTGAACAATTCTGCCTTTGATAATGCTTTCTACAAATCAATGTACCACTCGTAAGGTGGACAGTTCTGTTATTTCCAGATCCCCTCTAGGTCTCTTTAAAAAAAGAAAAGAAAAAAAAGTATGATATTGGTTAACCTCTAATCCTTTGGTAAAGAGGCTGATTTTAATGATGTACATTTTTTTGTTAAAACTGAAGCAATTTCCTCTCTGAGTTCTTTAAGAGCTCTTCACTGAATGCCATCTGTCCTCTGTGATTTTTAATTTGCACTTTGTCAGTTAGCTTTAGAACTTTATCATTTGTCACTTCTTTCTGACACTTCCTCAGATGCCCCTGCTCAAATACAGCACTTCAGACATGGCAGTCTGTCCATCATCTTCCATGGTGAGCACCAATGCAGCTTGCTTGCAGTTCTCTTTCAGCCTTTGGTACTGCTTTGGTACTGTCCATTGTCTTCTGAATATCCTACTACCTCCTTAGCTAATTTACTGCTCTTGTTTTTAAAGAAATGATTGTGTTTTTTTGCCTTTAACAATTTCCTCTTCAAATACCTTCTTTGCTTTGTGTGCCATCAATTTGCGTTTGTTTTGATGCTCTTTTTGAGTTTTGCATTTGAGCAAAACTTCAGCCTCTTAAAATAGCTTGCTGTTTAGTGTCAGACAATGCCCCCTGCCCAATCGCAGCATCTCTCACTACCCAGAGGATACAGATGGAGAAGAAACATAGGATGTTCATTATTTGGTGGGGAGGAGGTCAGTACTTTCTCTTGGTCCCTCCCTGCTTGAGAATATCCACCAGAGATGGATTTAAGGGAGGGAAAGCAGTTTGGTCACACTGGCTGCTGAGCTTCGGGGGTGCTGCAGAGGGTGTTCCAATTAGGATTTAGAATGGAGTGCAAGAAATGGGTGGTGGGATAAATTTTGGCATCACACAGGGTGCCACTGAAATTTGAGACCTCAAGGTCCACCACTGCTCCTGCCTTCTTCAGACTCAGAAGATCAACCCTCAATAACATCCTTTCACAGTGTAGCTTCCAGTGCCTGCAGAAAACAACAAGGGCTCTTTAAGTCAGCACCAGCCAATTTTCTCGAGAAGGTAAGGTCAACTACAGGATAGGCCTGGTTAGCCTATGTAAGGCCTGAGATGCCCCAGTTCTTTGCTAGTTTCCAAAATTCAGCCAGCAGGACCACTGGGAAATGTGCAAGGTCCTGACCTACTAGAGAAGATAGGAAGCTGACTTAAACTGAGTGAGACCTTGGTCCATCTAATTCAGTATTGTCCACACTGTCAGTAGCTCTCCGAGTTTTCAGGCAGGAGTTTGCCCTTGGCTTCCCTGGAAATGCTGGGGATTGATTCTAGGACCAGCTCTGTACAGCAAGCAATGTAATATATGAACACTACTAAACCAGAATTTAAACAGAACCAACAGCAGTCCGAAGCAGTAGCAACAGTGCAACGGGTTATCTTCACTCCCACAAGCCTATGCAAAATGGTGCATCTTGACCTGACATCAAAATGTACACAATCATTAGGCCAGGTGCACGTTAGAGGGAAGGCACTACTCATAGCCTGGGGCTACCACAGTTCATAGGGTAGCTGAACAGCCAGCAGGGCCTTTGCTCCAAATCTGTATGGGAAGAGGTACTCCTTCAGATATTTGGGGCTCAAATCATTTAGGGTAGTGTGTGTCAATATAAGCACCTTGAACTGGGCTCAGAAACACACAGGTAACCAGAACAAGTCTTTAAGAACTGATGTACTATGTGTCCAGCCAGTAGTGCTTGCCGGAACCCCGGCCACTGCAGTTTGTACAGTCTCAGCTTCCAAGCTGTCTTCAAGGGCAGTCCCACATCTTCAGGTTATCAGAGCATGGAGCACTGCAGCCACACCCTCTATGTTGTATTTGCCATACAGGTGGGACTTCCTGCAAAATGTTGCAGTATGCCTTCACCTTCGACCATGGGTGCTCCAGCCAGGCAGGAACATCCTGCCCCAAGATTCTTCACTCCATTCTTCCCACT